TCTTTCTTAAACTAGCAAAGGAAATAAATGCCACCCTCCCAGAGAGCATGTCTGACTCTTGGAGATTGTTAGGTGGAGCACTCCTACTGCAGAGTTTGGTTCACAGCAACATTGGGTCTTGGAGTGAATCCAGATGAAGAGAGAGCAGTGATAATCTCTGAGTTCAGGTATAATCTGTTCCTTCCACCTCGTATCACATGATCATTGCTGTCAAGAGGGCACTAACAGCAGCTTTCACTGGTGGCCTGGCTTGTTTTCCTTTTCACTATACACACCATAGGGGAATGAGTTCAGCATCTCAATCGGTGAAACTGGACAATGCTTTCTGAGATTCTTTGTTCATTCCCTTATTATGCCTGCCTCTGTAGATCTTGTTCTGCAACATCCCTGACTGAAAGAGCAGATTGTTTCCAAATCAAGGTATTGAGAATACACCAGGGTGTCAATCATGCCAATGAATGGCTCTGCAGGTGATGGAGTTTGCAGAAGGTGAAGAATCATGTACTTAGGCTGCTTCTGCAACACTGGACTTCAAGAATTCCCATTAGAAATAATTTGAAGTACTTTAAAAATAAGTGATGTCCACTTTCATTGATATGTGACTCTCTTCCAAGTATGGTACAGGGACAGGTATCCTCTTTATAAGTGTTATGGAGTCAGGGGATGTGGCGGAAAGACTTTAGCCCTTCTCTCACCTTTTTCTTATGAGCAGTTTTGATTTGTTTTTCTGCAGACAGCCAGGTGGCCTCCTTTAGCACCTTTTTACAGCTTGCCAGTAAGAAAATGAGCTGTTGTAACTGCAATTGCAGTGTGTGCTGTGTCTGCTATTGCAGTCATAGGAACCTGACCTGAACACTACATCCACTAGAGAGCATTGCAGCAATAAAGCCAGAAGTGTAAATCCTCTCTGTGTGGCTGAGACTTGGGGCGCTTGTACACATGACACCATTACCATGTACGCATGATGAAAATAGCACCTGGCCCACTAGCAGCCTACCTGGGCAGCCTTGTGGGGTGCCACTGCTGCGGAGGAAAGGACAAGGGTTCCCTGCAGCTCAGGGGTCACTTGGCCTGCCATCGGCTTGTCCCCCAGCCATGGGCAGGCTCCAGCTCTGACAAAAAAAAATCGGGCCCTTCGCTGTAACATGATGGAAAAATTTTAAGAGTTTAGTCCTTGGGGTTTTATTATTCTATGCCCCACTGTTTCAATTTAGGGGGCATAGAATAAAACCCTGAGGACTAAACCCCCATCACGTGTACAAGCACCCTTGTATAGCAAGCCCCTTCTGTTGGTGTAAAGCTATACAAGCACTGGCAATATGGCCCAGCTCTTTGGGCTGTCCAGGAGAATAAATGCTCAGGAGACCCCACCTCTGAGGACATCTCCATCCAAAGGGTGGAAAGTCAGGGTGGTCACAAGTGAGTAGGACTAACAAAGTAAAAAGCCAGTGCTGTGTGTTGTTGGCACAGATCTATATGTGTCACAGGTGTGTGTGAGTCAGTTTTCCAGCGATCTCATCCTCAAATGCCTTGCCAACTACTCCATCTCCATCCTCTTAAACTTCTCCGCTCTTTTTTTCATGTGGTATTCTTGGTAGGCTTACAGGATCCTTCTCCTGGTTCTCTCTTTCTTCACCATCTTTTGGTAGATAAGGGCAGCAGCAGGATGTTGCTGGTGGAGAGGGGAATACAAATTGGAGAGCTGGAAGAAATTGATACGGAGCTTTAGAGTAAGGCAGCTGGGAATAGCAGAAGGAATAAATTCAGGAAGAAATAAGAGCAGAGGGAGATGTAACGGGCATTGAGAACTTAAGACTGGATAAATAGGAAACGGCCCCTGGAACTAGCAATTGTTCAAGCTTTCACTTGCACTCTTCGGTGTGCCTAATGGTGGGAAGTGAGTTTCTTCCTCTAAAAGTATCTGCCTGTACTAATCCCTATATATGCTCTCTGTATGTCAGTCTATAACAGGAGTGTTAAGCTCATCTGGCGCTGCAGGCTTGGAAGTGTTGCTGGATCAGTCTGTGGGCTGGACTGGGACTGCCCCTTTGTGGAGTGGGTGTGCAAATGGATCCAGCCTGTGCAACACATGCAGCTCATGCCCTGGAGTGTGTGTGCAGTGCTGGGTCCAGCCTATGTGCTGCAGACAGCACCAGCCCTGGAGGCCATGTGCACAGTGAGCCCTGGGGCCAGTGCTTGCTGCCCACTGTGTGTAGGCTGGACTTGGTGCTGTGCATGGCACAGGGAGTCTGGGGTGTGGGCTACATGCAGTACCTCGTGTCTGCAGCATGCATGGTGCCAGGTCCAGCCTGCATACGGCATGCAGTGTGCGGGGCTGGGGCTGGCACATGGGGTCTGAGCCATGGGTCAGATCCTGCCCTGAGGCCGTATGTTTGACACCTCTGGTCTATAAGGTGCATATTTATCCTGCCTTATGCCTGACTAACCTGACTAATCACCTCTCTGTACTAATCCCCAACAAAAGGAATAACCAAATTGGTCAGTGTATAAATAGCTAGATGGCCTCTCCGTGGACCTAGACCTTGTAGTGGTGGAGAGGCTTGCATGTCCTAGTGATCTTCAGAGCTATGTTGCCCTCCTGGCAAGGTCACCTATGGCAAACAGGCCTGTGGGGAGGTTCCCGACAAACTAGGGTCCAACCTCAAGTCCTCACTGGTGGATCTGGTGGAAGATGTCGGTCTCTAAACAGCTTTAAGGCAGAAGAAGGTTGCAGCAGGACAAGCATTCCCCTGTCATCTAGGAGTCTCCCTTGGTCCCTAGGTCCAGATCTTCACCTTGTCAAGATTGTGTAGTTGTTGTTTCCATGCACCAGCCTCCTTGGGTTAAATGAAGCCATGCACAGTCTTCTACCCCAGGAAACGATGCTCTTCAGCTAGATGGAGAATGAAGCATGTAAATAACTAGATCTGGCTCTTCAGTAGCGCTCAATTAGTCAGTAAAAAACTCATCTTTGTTCTATTAAGTCCTCTGCACTCAGAACAAAAAGCGGTATAATTTCCTTCTTTTTATGTCTTGGCCTAGGATTGTCAAATCCACTCTCCCGCTCCCATTAATATCCCTTATGCCCCTGTGTTACTGCCAATTACTCTTCTCTCTTCTTTCCCCCAGTCCTGTTATAGTTTCCAGGTGACATGTTTGAAGTCTCAATGAGCACAGAGCACTGTTTGCTCTTGGCTCAAGCCTCTGTACGTTGCAGACTGCCATTGCACTGTCAGGTTGGGATCTTTATTTCTTTAAATACTAACTTTTAACACTCTCCTAGTTTTGCATATGCCTAAATCAGACATTGTACTAGGCTTTTATCTGTTTGAAAAAAAAATCTGAGACTGTGCGAGGGACAGATCTTGTACATTCAACCCAATTAAATATGTTATAGTAGTTACCTCTGACACCTTAGCTCTTTCCAAAGAATCTTTAACCACTTGTTTCCCTCTTTATTGTCTCTGAGAAAACATGCTGCTTTCTGAGGTGGTTTTGCACTAGGTTGAATGATCCCTCATTCTATTATCAAGATTTTTTTTGCCTGAATTTCACAGTTGCTTTTATGGACTCAGTCTTGATTACTCATCCACTATTGTGAAAAATCCAGTTTACAGGGGATTGTCAAGGCCTGAACTCTTGTTTGTTTGACTTCCCTTAAGCAACTGTGGGTCTAAAGCCTTTGCATGGCTCAGTTTGGAGCTCTGATACCATCTTGAAACTCAAAAGTTAAGTTTTGGGTGAGAAGTGACATCCCAAAATCGGGGGGGTTATACCCAAAACTGACTTCTCTATGAGGGTCCCATAGGTTTTAGAATAAGCCTTATATTTAGGTCTCTCAAGTCTGTCCCCGATGACTAACCAATTAGATACTTTTGCAAATAACCATGTACAGTACGTCTTGATAACTGCCCTCTCCCACCTCAGAAAGTCATGTCATTAGAGATGTATTTTTCAGGCCAGAGGGTAGAAGCGAGTTGATCAGAAATGTTTGAAGGCACAGCAGTGTTTCTGCTTGAAGTCAGCCTTACTGGATCCAGGAATTGGAAACCAAAAGAATAAAAATAAATCTGGAAGCAGTGGTTGATTGGCAACAAACGGCAAATTGGCCTTGATCCCAAAACTTTTAACAGCAAAGGTTGGTTCTTTCCCTTTGTCATTTAATAACTTCTGTTTGTTTTAATGCTTAGCTTGAGAACAAAGAATCAATTCTTTCTTGGTACAGTGCACTGTTTCTCTATGCAATTTTTAAAGATGGCTCCCAGGTGAAAAATTAGGTGTGTTTGGCTTTGTGGAGTTCTCCTTCCCTACCTTGTTAGGGAGCAATAATGAACGGGAGAAATACATTTCTCAGGCACATCAGACCATCTGGTTTTAAATGCACAGGAAGCAACTGATAAGCTAAACTGATTATTCTTTCCAATCTTGTTTTGTTTGTTTCCAGGAGATGTCACTGTTATGCAGGTACTTGTGCAATTTCTCTCTCTCAAAATCTAGTGATGAGATGAAGAGATTTATTCCAATGTTAGAATCTCTATACCAGTGATATAAGTAAGGCCTTACGTAAGTCTTGCTGGGAGAATTTCAGTTAGGTAATTTTTGATTGGGGAATAGATTACAAGAAAAACACAAATACGGTTTTGGAATATATTCATCATTAGCTAAAAGTACTGGTGTTCAGCGGTATGGAGCAAGATCAAGACTTCTGCTTTAGTTCCTTGGCTGTGTCGCTGGTCTCCTGTGTAGCGTTGGGCAAGTATCCTTAATTCCTTTGTGCCTCAGTATCCCTATGTACAGGAATGCTTTCCTCCCTCTCGGGTGTCCTGTAAGGCTTAATTAATGTTTGCAAAAATGTCAAGAGCTTCTGAACAGTCCTATAGAAGCGCAAATTACTATGACTGTTACTTGAAGCCAAGACAGATTGTTGAAATCTATCCACTTCACCCAATCTAAAAATAAATCCCAAACTGAAAATAGTTTTCCTCTTTCTTCTTAGATCTCTTCCACATGTTTCCTGCCAAAAAAATGAGTTCATATCATTAAGGGCAATGTGGGAGGCCTACTTATAAAAGAGGCATAAAACCGATCCCTTCTGTGTGAACTGTGGGTCTGTTGTAGAGGCACTTGCCCAACATTTGTCTGACTTTAAAAGGTAGCAAAAAACTGAGGGACTTTGGTAGCAGGCTAGATTCCGTATATTAGTGAAATAGGGGGGCTTTGTAAATAGATGGATTGGTAGCATTTGGATTAATAGAGAAAGCTTTAAAAGTGTTAAATCTGTTTGTACTTCATTTCTTGTGTCTGGTTTATCTCTGTCCTTCAAAGTTGGTTTGATATAATGTTTCGTTTTCAGAGCTGTCTGCCAGTATTAAAAGATAGTTTCTTCTTCCTTTGCCCTCCCTCCTCTTCTCTCCCCCCCTCAACATGGCAAGTATTTCCTCATATTGCCTCTGAATAAATCGCTGTAAATTTGCTTCATATTGCGTAAAACAGTATCACACTAATTGTGTACTGTAATTCGTATTCGTTTAACCACTGTGAAAGTACTGATTGTATTGAAACAAGCAGATCTTTATGCAATAAGTGCACACGTTAGCTGAGGCCAAGCCTATAGCAAAAATGTATGGACACCTGAGCAGCAGTTCTTATTCAAGAGAATCTAGATTAGTTTTCATTAATGTAAGCTTCAGTCTGTATTTAGCTATTCCTCATTTTAAAGCACTCATCTGCAGCATTTAGGCTTTACAGGCAGCACAGCTGTCCTCAGCTTTCATGTGAAGAGATCTCTTTAGGGCTGGGTTTGTAACGTGCTGGGAGGTCAGGGCAGATTGCTTGTGACATCATGACTAAGAATACTGTGATGTCATCATCGTTCTACTCAGCACACTTGTGAGATGCCTCTATCTCTTGGATTCAAAGACTCACTTCCACCCTCCTACCCCTGATCCCTCATTTCCCTTATTGTGAAATGAACAGGTTTGGATGTCACTGTCTCAGTGCTTCTGAGGAAGTTTCATTGCCTGAGATGCAATCACCATTGATCCTTTCCCTGACAGCATCTGAAGATGGGGCTTTCTTCCTTGATGGTCCAAGGTAAGGTATAAAATGAAGTGACTGTTCTTTGCTCCTTAGTTGGCTTTCATATATCTGTATGTAAAATGTCTTGCAGGTGATGAGAAATTAATCTGCACTGCAGTATATGGTGGTGCACAGAAGTCTGTTCCTTGCATGAAGCTTAGATAAGACTTCTTACACAGTTCTGTTAGGATTTCAGCTGAAAGAAGTTGATTAGGTCCTTAGACTTTGCTGGCCAGGAAAGAGAAAGCTATTGACTGTTTGACACCAACAAAGTGTACAGAATCTCTGATTAAAGCACAGTAGCTATGTTGCAATAGTGACTTACTGTTTTAGAAGGATTATTTAATCTATGATGAGTTTATCCTACACCAAGAGGAGAAACTACCTGAAATGATCACCTAGATGTTAGAGATGCAAGTTGGTTGCTGATTTGAAAAGTCCCCTTATTGAGAAACAAACACAAGTCGGCCCACTTTTACCGGTATAAGTGATCAGAAACCAGTCTGTACCTGTAACAGAACAGAAGTTCGGCACACAAAATGGGTTTATACCCACAGCAGAACAGAAGTTCAGCGCACATCGATCTGTTTAAAAATGGCAGAGTCCAGTCTAAGATCCTCCCCCCCTCCCCACCCGAAGGACAAACGTATGTCCTGTTTGCTACCAAACTAAACTACACCACTTAAAAAACTGCAACTCGGATCGATTCTGCTTCGGGGTTTTTGAATGTCTGTAACAACCTTTGTTGGGTTTTTTTAATTTTTAGATACTGCTTTACTCTTTCAAGGGGCTCAGCATTAAAATTGGCCTATGTGAGAGAAGGAAGTTTTATCCCTATTTAATAGCTTAGGAACTGTTGTGTGTGGTATTGTGAGGGTATCGCTCACCTGAGAAGCATCTTTACAAAGCTGAGCATACAGCCTAGGGCTGGACTGTTCTTCCATGGTACACATGGAGAACAGCTTTCCTCTTGTAGAGGAGGTTAACTGTTTCTACTGCACCATCCCCTCCTTCCTTTGTGCTTTGCAGAGGTCCATGGTGCCTGGGAGCCTCTGAGGAGGCATTAAATGTTGTTGGGAGAGGGAACCACCAAGCCTCCCTCCAACCATCCTTTGGAGTTTTAATCATTTAGGCACTAAGTATGCTACCAGAGCTCCTCTGTGCTGACCCAATGTCTGAGTTCCTGGCATCGTGACGAGAGGATATAGAAGTGCCCTGATCAGGTGTGGTTTTCAAGCAGAAGCCGTGATTCTTCATCAGATTCCTGGATTGTACAGTGTTTCTTCCCTCAGGACACTTGCATATGGAAGGGGATGCTTGAGCCATGAGAGTAAATCTTGGCTCTTTGCTCCTCTCTGTAAGACCATGCTGCAAATCCTAATTTAAGAATATGATTTCCATACAGTCAAACTATTATCTGATTGTTGTATGTTCTCACAAAGAAAACTTCCAAGAGAAGTGGTGCGGTCTCCTGTCCTGGGGGTCTTTAAGAGGAGGCTAGATGAACACCTCGCCAGGGTTGTTTGACCCCAGTACTCTTTGCTGCCATGGCAGGGGGTCAGACTCATTGATCTGCTCAGGTCCCTTCTGACCCTAGAAACTATGAAACTATGAAAACAAATCCTGCAGACAGATGCAGGATTTCCTTCCTGGTTTACATAGTTTTAGAGCAGAACCTGTTGGTGTCTGCAGATAGGACTGATGCCCTAATTTACCACAGGGACTGCTATGTTCTTCCACTGCTGGAGAAACCAGGTAACAAAATAGTTCCCATACAGTACGTTTTAGGTTGATTGCAGTAGCATTGCTCCAGGAAGAAGCAAAAGAGCATTTCAACAAAAAGGCAAGTTACTTTACTGGAATGCCAGAGAAACCAGTCAACCCTCTCAATGCATTTTATCGATGTCCTTGCAGTTTCAATTTCAAGGGAGGTGGAACAACAACATTGAGGAAAGTTAATCTGCCTTTAGAGCATTTTAATAAATAAAAGTTAAAAAAAAACCCTGAACAACAGACAGGCCTGTTACCAACTCCTGCTTTTTTAAAATCAGGATTGAACCTACTGGCTTTACTCTCCATTTGCAAGAAACAAGCATGGCTCCTAGGCAGTGGTGTTTGTCCCCCAACGTGTTGCTTCTTTATGTTGCTCTAGTGGCACGTAGGGGGCATAGCAGTGACGCAAAAGGTCCAGGAGATAATTTCCCCACTGCATGATTTGGCTGGTGTGGGCATACCTGGTCCTATTTTGTCTTTCTAGCCTTGCTTCAGTCTCCAGGAATCAGGGCTAGGAGCATGCCAGACAGGAGGATGGTTTCAGCAGGAGGAAAGGGTGCAGTATGGAGTATCTGTCACGAGGGACTGCAAAACACAGGTGATTTGGGGAGATGCTGCCATAATTTAAACTACCATCAGCACCCATCGCTTCTAAAGTCAGAATGTGGTTGGCACAAAGGTGAATTAAAGATACTTTTACGCTTCACTGCCCCATGACTTCTGGTTGCTTCTTTTGGGCTGAAATCTTTTGGATTTCCCTCTTGGGAAATCCAGCATAGACTATCCTGTCACAAGAGTAACTGACAACACATCTCTGGAACGTGGGTGCTGCTGGCGTGGAAGTCAAGTTTCACACGACCTTGGAAAGACAGCAAGTGGTATCAGCATGCAAACTGAATTGTTCTACTCCAGGAAAATCAATAGCAGTAGCTGAGGCTTTGAAAACCTGTTCCAGTGAAATCATGAATGAGTTGATACATTCATCATAAGGAAAGGAGATCTGTGTTGTGAACAGGTTTCTATCTTTAACATTCAAGAGGTAAATTGTAGTGATATGGCTGGTGGATGCCGAAGCCTTTATGGGTATTGTATATTTGCTTTTGAAGCCCTTGGTACCTGTTCATTTCTTTCTTCACTAGAGACTGAAGGGCAGTGTTGATCAAATAAATTTTCTCTGCATTCTGTGAGAGGAGAAGGAGAAATGAATCTGCAAAAAGGAATTGTCATAAAACAAAGCAAATTGGTAACACTGAAATCATCAATCCCCCTTTTTTCCCCTTGGACTCAGGAGTGCTTTGTTTATGAGCCAGCTCAATGATAAAAGCCAAGACTCCCTTTTATTTTATTGTTCATTTTTAAATCAGGAGCACAAGGCCAGCACAGCCTGTGACGACTCAGCCGACTCGCAGGGCTAGCATGTCCACTATCACAACAGTCGTACGGACGGGTGGAGACTGGACCACCGGTCTGTTTGGAGTCTGCAGTGACAAAAGAGTTTGTAAGTGTTTTCATTATTTGGCTGTTCTGTAATGTCTTCCATGTACCTGAATCCAGGGACCACTGGTTAAAAGAACAAGAACAGAAAGAGACTTTTGTAGACCAATTCATAGACCCGAGAAATTGAAGAGCAGACAGTCCACAGTGGCTGGTTTGTGGGTAGAGCAGTTAATATATCAGTGGCTCCTCTCAGTCTAAATTAAATCATAAAAGCAATTAATAATTATGGAAGCATGTTTGTAGAGCTGAAAATCTAGTTTCATGAAGTGATTAATTTTATGGTGCTCCTAGAAGGAAACAAAGTGGGAAATGCAGTGTGGTTCAGACACATGCCTTGGGAAATCTTTGCTGTAGACATGCTATGGCCTGGTTATAATTATAATCATAGACAGGCAAGTTGTTTAATGCCTGAAGTTCCCCCGGCTATGCAGCGGTGGTGATATTTACCTCGCAGTGGGTGCATCTACACGTGCACTTTTTTGCAAAGTTGACTAATTAGCTCTGCAGTAAAGCATCACCATCTACAAGTGCACTGGTATTAGGGTGCAATAAATTAACTTGGGGACAGTACTGTCTTATGGCAGAGTAATAGAGTGTAACAAAACTCCTGTAGGTGGTGACAGGGGCTGGTTGGGGCATGAGGGTGCTAAAGTCTGGGGGCCGCCTGCTGCACGGCTCCACGCTTTAGCACTCTCGTGCCCCAGCCAGCCCCTCTGCTGGCTGACCCTGCACCCCCTGAGTCTACTGCCAGCCTGGGGCTGTTCTTCCCTGGCTCAAGCTGCTGCTGTCCTAGGGACGTATGTCGATGCTGCACCCAGGGGCAGCTGACTCCAGCTCTAACTGCTTCAGAGTTTATTGTGTCGCAGTGATTTCTCATGTAGATACACCCGGTGTTAGGCTAAATTTATGTTCACTTACAAAGTCCTTTGGTACTTTCAGGCAAAAGGAAGAGTTCAGAGTACTAAATTCTCTTTAGTCCTTGAACTTGCCAGATATATTACGTTAGGCTTAGTGCTGCTACTCTTTTTCAGTTAAAGAGAATAAGTGACATCCACTGTTTTTCACACATTAGTGAGGGATTGAGATGTCCCCAGTGCCAGAAATGTATCCATTTTTTTTTTCCTTTTCTTCCCCAATTCTGTTTCAGTAACAGAAACCCGAATTCTAATTATTTCCTTCTGACCCTGTTCTTCTTTGCTTACCACCTAGAACTGGTCTGTCCAACTGGTGGGCTACAAGGGGTCAAATTGTGGCCCCCAGGCTCCCATCTGGCTGCTGGTTCCCAACATTTCTAGAGCTGCAGAATCACCCACAGTCTCTGGGCTCACTCTCCCTCTGGTTTCCCCTTCCCTGACTGAAGTGGGTGGGCCAGTACAGCATGGCTCAGTCCACAGAGCTGGGAGAGCCTGTGGCCTGGGGTGCCTGAGAGCTCTGATGCAGTGGGAAAACCTGGGGCAGGGAGGTTAAGGTAAGGCTGGATGTCTGAGTGTGTGGTGCAAGGTGGTGGTGGAGGGGAACCAGGGTGCAGGGTGCAACAGGAGGAGTAGGGTTACCATATGTCCGGCTTTCCCATACGTGTCCTCTTTTTGGATCCTCCAATCTCTATCCAGGCAGTTTTTTGGAATCTGAACAAATGTCCGGGAGTTTGCTCTGCTCCGTTGGTGAGAGTGGGGGGAGGGCAACTGGAGGCAGAGGACACCATGCATGTGTGCATGCACACCCACAAGCACATGGCCAGCATGCAGCCAGGCAGGGTTGTGGGAACAGCCTCAGCAGCTGCATGCAGGTAAGTCCATCTGGAGCGGGGTTTTAGGGCCAGGGTTGGGAGACTGTTTTGTGTGTGTGTGTGTGTATGGCAGGGGTGCATGAAGGGGGAGTGGCGGAGGGTGCCTGGTAGCACTGGGGGAAGCTGTCTGGGATCTAGGGCTCCGGCAGGGCAGGAGGGAGGCCTTCCCCTCCAGTGGGGGAAGGGGCCAGGGGGAACTCTGTGGCTGGACTGGTGGCACTGGGACCAGTGCCCAGGCTCACTGGGGCAGGATGGCTGGGAAACACGGCCTGGGGGAGGGTATGGGGTGCGGGAGCCCCAGCCCAGGGTGTGGGGTGCCATAGGCCTTCCCTCCTCTTCCCTCCTGCTTGCACCTGGGCCGGACTCGCTCCACGTCAATTGGAGTCACTGCGCTTCAGCTCGGTCAGGATGGGGATAGTTGGGAGCTGCTTCCAGCAGGGCTGCACGTCAGGAGCGAGGAGCCCTGGAAGGGCTAGGGGGTGGCTGTGGTTTGGGGGTGATGGGTACTGGGGGCCGGAGGGCATTTGGGTTGGGAGTGTGTGGCACTGGCAGTACCAGGGGACTGTGGATTGGGAGTGAGGGGCACCAGCATGGCCCAGGCGAGTGAAGGACTGAGTCAGGAATGAGGGGCTGCAGGCTGGGAGTAAGGGGCACTGGCGGGGCAGGGGGCTGTGGGTTGGAAGTGAGGTGTCCCCCCCAACAGATGTCCTGTTTTTTGGAACTGGAATTAGAGTAACCCTAAGGAGGAGCACGCGGTATGTGGCTCTGGGGGACCCATGGCCCCCACCGTGGAGGCCTGCGAGGCTTGTAGCCCCAGGCCACTTAGAAACTGGACAGGCCTAATCTAGACTTTGGAAGGCTAATCAAGAGAAATAACTGGATGTGTATCTATGATGCGAGGTTGAAGACCTTCAAACAACTATACTTTCTTTTTCAGTTTGTTGAAGTTACCATAAATGATGTTAAGCAAGCAGTATATTAAATTGTCTGTTCTGTACTGCAGCTGTTTTAAGTCCTGCCTGCTAAATGAATGTCTGTTGTTTACAGCCACTCGTAATGTTACCACTATAAACTACACAATTTAAGAGCAGTTGGCTAGTTCCTGAATGGACAAAAGAGGGGGTTGTCTACCCACATACTCTATGGAAATCAGTCATGGATGCTTGGTACCACAAAAGACTTGGCTGAGTTGCTGTTCCCCTTCCATCCTCCTCTTTTGTGTCCTAGCAAGGGTTTGCATTAACCCCCTAGCATATGGCACCCCCCCCCCGCCATTAAGCCATAGCTTCCTGCCATCCCTGCCTAAGAGGGAGTCGGTTCACAAACACATTTATTTTATAACCCAAATCTTTTGTATATAAACAGTTGCTAAAAAGCGAAAGGTAGTGAACCTGCCTTCTGTAACTCAGCCTGACATGCCACGGACTCCTGAGAAGGCACTGTTTTTCCTCTCATCTTTAAAAGAAATTGCTTGGGTAATTTCTAATCCATTAAATGGAAGGGGCGCAACTAATAGCGATGATTTCTGTTTCTTTTGATGTTTTATTTCCGTAACAGTAGTTTGCGTTTCTTCTTTCTCTCTCTCTCTTTTTGCTCACTCATTATTTTCCTTCAGGTTTCTTTTATCTGTCTTTTATAATATATGAAGAGTAGCAAATCATTGCCATTAAATTGCATTAAGGATATGATCTGAAACAAGGTTAGATTCAAAGGTATAGGGTGCTTAATGTGCTCTCTGTGTACTAGTTCTCTGAATTTTATTCTGAGCATTACTCTAAAAGCTGGGGCTGATCATTTTATGGGAAACATTTTAAAATGCTAGTCAGATAAATAAACAGGAATATGGTTTGCAATTGCCTGGTAGACTGATGAACTTAAATTGACGGTAAGGTAACTGAAAACTTTACAGGTTGGAGTGCATATTCCCTGGAGCTGCTGCTGCTTTAATTTACTTGTCTGAAGGTAACTGAGATCTGAATGGAGGTACAAAGTCAGACTGTGCCCTCAAATCAGTGGGGTGTCTACAAACAATGATGGGTTGTCTAGTCAATGATGGGCCAGTGCTTTTTAATTCCAAGTCCTGGCTGGGCTGATTTGAGTTGCAAGACCTGATCATCATCACTAGTGACTCAGCCAAATGTAGAAGTGGGAACTTATCTTTTTTTCTAAGTCCTTGCTATGTGGAAAATATCTTTTTGGGTCAATAGAACCAGGTTTAGTTTCTCTAGCTAGTGACACATAGGATTACACGCGTTTTCCTAGCCAGTATTCTGCTCCCAGGTGTAAGGCAGATTGAGGACTGCAGCCAAGATATTTTTTAGCTCTTATCATCTTCAGAGTGTAATATTTAGAGTAATTACAGATCCAGGTTTCCATTTAGATTAATGTAGCGATTTCACAAAAAGAGGGCTCTGGACCAAAGTTAGCAGAGCATGAAGCATTACGTTTTATTGAAAAATATTGTGTCTATCTTCATAAAAGCAAATAAAATGCTTGTTTCCATGTAGTGTGCCCTGGTTCTATAACCCTGCTGTAGAGGAAAACTTTCCTAGGTGCATTGATTCCTAATTTAAGAACAAAAGACATTTAAATGAGCAGCATGGGGCCATGATAATGTTTTTTGCCTTTCTCAAGAATTAGAAAAACAAATGCATCTAAATGGGATTGAGAGCTGTCTATAAAGATATTTCGAAGACAGTGAATTTTCAGTGTGGCTGTTGGTTCACAGGATTGAAGATGCATGGTCTATCCTCATTATTCTTGGGAGACCCAATGAAAACACAGTTGGTTAAAATAGTACTGCAGTTGCTAGCGGAAATAGGATCTTAAGCACACTGTGTGATGGGGTTAAATCCAACCTGGCTGCAAAACATAGTTAACATCTTGCCTTTATTAAAAAATTGGAAATGGGTTAGAATTGGATCCTAGGTATAAAAAAAACATTTGCTGTTAGAAGGGTTGGCCAATCTGTTTGGCACATGGCTTGGCTATCTTGGATCAAAAATTTAAAATTCTTACCTGCAATGACTAGGGAAATTGTAGCAGCACACTTCTAACAATAATGATGTTTATGTGGTTAAAGGAAGCATAGAAACTGGACTGGATCTTCTCTGTCGAGCAGTATTGTGATCATTATACAGAAGTTTACACAGCCCTACGTGGTGTTCTGCAGAAAGCTACATGATGAGAATTACACTCTGAGCAGTTGGGGAGAGGATGGGACCAGTGAAATGGAAAGTTGGGGAGAGAATGGGACCAGTGAATATGGAAAAGAGCAGTTGGAAAGAAGCGTTCTTTCATGGCAGTTCTCTAAATCTAATTTAAAATGCTTGACTCTCAGAATGGATGGGCTCGTTAGAACTAATCCCATGGTCTAGGTTAGGGTATTATCAAACTAGTTTTCCCTGCGTTAAGGCTGAGATGATGGCACTCCAGCACTCCTTTGATTGTGGTTATTGGCAGGTGTCTGTGGTGCATTGTGCTGTCCATGCCTCGAATGCAACCTTGCAAGACATTATGGGGAGTGCCTGTGTTTCCCGTTGCTACCAGGTTCCACCTTAGCATTAAGAGTTGGCGTCAGAGAAAGGCACAGAATACGAGTAAGTCTTTATGTGTGTGCTTGTATTTTGTTTTGTGCGACTTACATAATGGTGAGAGGCATCTTCCTCAAGTACCCCATTCCCAACAGAGGCTGCAGCAGAAGCTTAATATCCATGGACATGGCCAGATGGATTAGTGTGCTAGTGCATGCCACTGAATATTGATAATGTAGAAATTATGCAAATGTAAAAAGTTCATTGGGGACCGAGGCTGGGAAGAGAGGAACTCCTCACCCTCTTCCGGGTGTGTTTTCTCACACAGCCAAATTCCTTTTTGATTTGAAAATCTTTTCTGTTACCTTGATGCATTTTTAAAGCAGAACTAATGCATTAAATCTCAAGAATGCCCTTTCTCCTTGCACTGAGGCAAAGGCAGCATTTTGTTGTATAATAGAATGCCAACACCAAGCAACTACTCATGTTTTTAAAGTACTTTGTAAGAACAGGATGGTGTTTGTGTGTGGTTGCTGTAAAATCAGCCCAGAGCTGATGCTGTAAAATACACATTTGTGTGTAATCAGGATGAAAGAAAATAAAGGACGTTGTTTGAGCCCTGCTGAAAGACTCTTTCAAGGCCTCGTGAGGTGCCAAGTGTCTTTAGATCTCATCAACTTTCATTCGAGTTGTGGGTGCATGGTATCTTGCACAATCAAGGTCTAAATCTTCTCCTTTTCCACTCTACTTATCTACTGCATTTTTAAAAAGAACCTGTTAGATGCTGGGTCAAAATCAGATCTCTCCTCCGCAAACACGAGACCAGGTTAATTCTTTGGCTTGGGTCTGAATCTGGCCCTGTGTCTTCCCAGGACATGTGAAGTGAGGTGGAAAAGCCAATTTGCAGCCATTCCATTTATGAGAAATTATCTTTGTTCTCTCCCCAGGGAACCCTTTGTGAAGACTGGATGGCAGTTCATTGCTGCTGGCCTTTTGCTGTCTGTCAAGCAGCTAGGGAACTGAAGAGGAGGGCTACGACCCAGATCTATGAAGTAAATGCTGCTCCTGCAGCTACAGATACTCCAGTTTTAAAATGTCCAGGCACAGAACTTGAGTTGTGATACTTTCCCCTCTCCCTGCAATGCAAATGTATTATTTTTAGAAATAAAATGCATTAGTGTTTTACAACAAAGCCTCCCCAGTGGCCCTATGGGGATCTGATATAACACCCAATAATCTCAGGTGCCAGTTTCCGCAGTATAGCCATGTTAACGCAGTTCAGTGCTCTTATGCCTGCCCAGAAGTATGGCGCTGCCTTCTCTGTCTGGGGACTGAGATCACAAAGCTCAGTGCAAAGTGAAGAAATTTTCTTAGGAGAACAGAAGTGGAAAAATCACTCTGCAGCTGAAAAGAATTTGAGAAGAGGATCAAAGACACAAGAAGAAACAGAGTTTAATGAACAGGGCATGAAACTGGAAATGGAGGGAAATGGGCACTGGTTCCCTTCAATTTGCAGTGTAAATTGCTGTTGCTCTTCTGTAAAATGGGAATGACTGAATTTGCCCTTCTTGAAGAAGGGCTTTGAGATCCTTCAATGAAAACCCTCATGGTAATGATAATTACTATTATGTTCTTTTTAGTTCACTTCAGTTTTGTTGGAGGCAAGCTTGAGGATTTCTGTCCCTCAAAATTATGGGAAGGAAAGGGAGAAAATAACGGCAACCCTGCCTAGATTTCCCAAAGTCAGACTACAGTCCCAGAGTAGCTAGACACACATGGTAAACCTGGGTTAATTCAGTGATGGTGCTCTCGTTCAGAGATGAGAAACAGAATTCAGTTGAAATACATGAAAATAAACATTGTTTTATTGTTTCATGCAAAAACAGTTTTTATGGTAACACAATAGTTTGTATGGTATGGAATAATATACGTATTTGGCATAGAAAACCTGACCATTGTCCATCTGCTAACCTCCATTATGATAATAGGCTAATTTTTACAGTGCACTCAGTCTGAGACCCAGTTCTGTCAATTATTCTTCCAGTGTATAAGGTGCAGCCATCCATTTGAGTCAAGATAACTTTTAAATGATCTACAGATAACAAACCTAAACATTAGAGCTATAAACTTAGACAAGTAAACTGCCGGCAAGTTAGAGCTTTCTAAAAACATTGCCTTTCAACTGATGAAATACAAAATAAATGTCTCCATGGTTAATAAAAAAACAGAAAATGAAGATTCATTTTGTTCATCAAGGTTTCATTTTCTTCTCTTGAAGGAAGTACGTTACATTGGGGGGAAAAAAGCATTTAAAAATGAACTTTATATCATGGAAAATGTTTAAGCATCATTTAGTTTATACAAGTTAAACAAAAGACAAAAAATTATATATTCTGTTCATCTCCTACCCCATCACCAAATAAGAAAAGAAAATATATGTCTATCTCTATATAAATATTTGCCATTTTTTCCCTCTTTCCTCTTTATTATAATATGGCTGTAACATTTCATTGTAGCTGTTTTGGGGCTCAATACAGGGCTGAATGGATAAAATTTTGTGGTCTGCATTGCACAAGAGTTCAGACAAGATAATTTATGGAATGGCTCCTTCTGGCTGTGAAAACCGTTAATATACATTGAGCTGAAATTTTGTCTATTTGGATCTTTTTGTATTTTTTCATTTATAGTGAATTTGGCCATTTCCCACATGCCACTCAAAACAGTGGTTTCTGGCCCATGTAAAATTTATGCAGGAGCCTCAATGTCATACAAAATATAATTCAGAGCAATCAGCTTGTGTAGGACCCATTGAAGCTTATGGACAAGCTCCCACTAGCTGGAGCTGGGCAGGACGAGGTCCTAAACACTGTTCATGATAGGCCTTTTTGAAGTGTTGAAACAAATGGGGTATCAAGACTCATTCCAAAAAAAAAAAAAAAAAAGTCTAAAAAGTCTGAATTCATTTAAAGGGGGGGAAGGAGGGAGAGAGGAAAGTCTTCCATAAACTTTATTACACAAAGTATTTATTTACAGAATAAACGTCAGTGACTTTCTTTTGTAAATGATTCATATTTTAAAAACATTATAAATGTACATAGGGACTTAGTTCCATTTTATGGTGATGTGTGTGTGTGTGTATGTGCATGTATGTGAAATCTGTGGGCCAAATCCTGCCTTATTCTTCCCAGCAATAGGCATAGGAAAGCGGAGGAGCAAGCTTTT